AAAAGATCTAAGTTTCATTATAGAAAACAATTTATTAAACAATTATGCAGATTATCAAAAAAAGCTTACAAACATTTTTTAATATTGTGCAAGTAAATCTGGCCAGACGTAGATCTTTATAAAACTACTCTTGTGTTACAATTAGGTGTAACACCGGTGTTAAAATTCCATCAACTTTGATGTATTGGTGTCATATTCTTTTTATAATTTCTAACAATAACATCAAATTTTTACATTAAAGTAATATTATTATTTAATTTTTCAATTAATAAATTTTCTACTTTTATTATTTGTAATTAATAAAAAAACTATTTTATCACCCTTAAATATTATGTTTGTTAAATTTTTGTAATTTACGATTTATAGAATTTGTTGACACATATACTTTTTGGTCAATCAATATTATATTATTATGTATTTATTTTATATAAAATATTAGATATATTCAAAATTGCAAACTGTTAAATATGAAAAGCACATAACAAAAATATATATTTATTTTAATAAATTAGCATTAGTTAGTTACACAAGTTCAACTATATTTATAAAGAAAATTTTATTTTAATGTTTGATAAATTTTATAGCATTACATAAAAATTTAATTATTTACTATTAAATCTAGCTTATAGTGTTAATTTATTTATTTCAGAAAGTACTGGTTAAAAATTTTGCTATTAAAAAAAATAGAAAAATGATAATATTTATTCTTTACAATATGACGTAAATAATAATATAGTGATTAATTAATTAAAAATAAAAATAAAATAATTTAATGTAAAAATAGTTAAAGATAAAAAAATAATAAAGTATATATATTACGTTTAGTTACAAATCTGAATTAATTAATAATAATAATAATAATAATAATTGTACTATATTATTAAATACAATATAATATAAAAGGTATTTAAAGATTTGGTGGTGTAATATTCACATTACATCAAATTTGACGGAACAGTGTCATTATTGAAGATAAAATTATACCAAATTTTGTATTTTGGTATTTTGTTAGAGATAACCTGAAAGAACTAGCATAATCTTTATATCAGAACTGGTGTCACGTCGATGGCACCAATCACTCACTGACAACCCGAAACCTTTGAACCAAAGTCGAGACTGTTACTTCCACCATAAAAGAGAAAACCAGATCTACAATGAATTACATGGGCGACCCTCGCCTCCACCACCTAAACATGACATCAAAACAATCAAGATCGAAATCGAAAAAAAAAAACAAAGAAATGTGGTTAAAAAAGGATTTACAAGGAAAGGTAGGAATCACCAGTTTGGAACCACCATATGAATAGATCTAGATCACATCCTACAAGCGACCCACCTCCTCTGCTACCAAAAAACTCCCTTCATAACCTCTGCTCGCCGTCGTCTGGGAAAAGCTGCAAGGAGAGAGAAGGCCCACGCACAGTTATGTAACACAACGAATCTCGCCTTCGTATCTATCTTTATCATTGGACTACCACCTCTGCCACGCCGATTGGACTAAAAGACCTCTATAGACGACAACCGCAGCAAAGCTGGAAGACACGAAACCAAACCCGATCCTCATATATCTGGACCGTAAAACCAAACTTTATTTTCGGAAAGGACAAAAATCAAACGTTTTTGAAAAGGCAAAAACAAAACTTTTGAATATTTAACTTCTATATATGACTCTAAGTAACATAAGTTATCTGTGGTGTGTGTTTAAGTAACTATCTGTAACATATCTAGATCCCCAAACGATTTATATTGGTAATTGTTATAGCTTATCAACGATGTATATATATTATATGGGTTATAATCTAGATACTGACAACTCGGACAATACTAGCATGAACTGAAATGTTTTTTTTTTTGGTCTAGGAACTAAAAATGTTATGTCATGTTTTGATGGTAATGTAATTTATATGGTCAAGTTATAACTAATAATCATGCATATCCATAAACAATCTATATATATTTTATGTAACTTGTGATATTTTTTCTTAAACAAAAATTTCCGACAATATAGTTGTTTTGATTTGGATGCAATGCATGTCAGCATGTGTAGTTTAGAGACAAAGTATAGCTGAGAATCGCTTATCGTTGTTTCTACATAAATTATATTTTGATCATTGTTATTTAATATATTAATTTTGGACTATCTTTACATGCTAGTAGGTCAGATTTGATGTAACCCAACAACTGCAAGGCCATAATAAAATAAGTAAACATAAACGAATAGAAAAGGCAAATAAAATAGATTATAAACAAAAAATTTGTAGAAAAGGAGAAAGAGCCACGAATAAATTGACAAATAGAAAAAGAGAGAAATAATAAAGAAGAAATATAAGATAATAAATATATCTTATATAATAAAACTGACTTTTCTCCTTTCTTAGGGTGTCCACATCAGCAAAGAGAAGGGGTAAAAAAACACGTCAGCGCCTGACCAAACTGTGTTCTCCACTTTATATTTTTGATTCTGTAATCGATTTATTTTGTCATCAATTGCGTCTGGCCCATAGAAACAACCCACGTCCATATTGCTATTAGGTTTCTGCTTCTTCTCTGCGTCTCCCACCAAGAGCCGACGCCATCTCACAAAACTTAAACGTCTTTCTGATCACGATTACGGCTCTAACTCGCATTAATGCTTAGTTTTTCTATCACTATCCCACTCCTCCCACTGTGACGCATTCAAGCGATCTTTTCACATACCACCTGACCCCTAAAAACTCCACTATAAATATTAGGACCTTGAAGATGGAAAACGCAGCTCAAACGATTAACAAAAGACAACTTTCTTTAACCAAATGATTCCGGCGATGGCGATTTCATACTCTCTCCTTTCCAATCTAAAAGCTGGCCGGTGCTCTAACACGGCGGAGGTGCGTCTATTACGATTTTCGGAGGCCAACAAAGTCAGGGATCTCATAAGTGTTGACATGTTGCTCATTGATGAGAAAGTAAGAATTTTTAATGTAAAATCATCCGCTCGTAGGGCGAACCAACCCCTAGTGTTCATATAAATATCAACAATGACACCAACCAAACCCATTGTTTGTTAGCTTTTGGAAGCGGACACTAATCATGCAATTGTTTTTGTTACGCGTCGTCTAAATTATTGTTCTACTTCTACAACCAATCAGCTTATTTTCTTTTTATTAAGTTAAAAGAATAATTGGAATATCCATTTAACGGAAAAACAATCATTCCAAATATCAGCAGCCATCGTGGATGGTTTACACGAGAAAGTGCAGCCATATCGTGTATGTTTTTTTAAATAGTCCTTAGTGTTTTAAGATTGATTTAAACGATCGTATATAAAACAAACAAAAAAGCGACAAATCTAAAAGGAATTGGCGTTTTTCGGCGATTTTACAAGAGGTCTTAGACTATTATAAACAGTCATAAATTCTCTTTAAGTATTATGTAACAGATGATAATATATATATACTTTGGGTGGCTAGTTTCTGATTTATTTTTCTGTGGTAAATTATAAGAAAAGTTTTGAATCATATATATTAGATATATAAACTTTGGGCGCCATACACCATAGAGACACTGTAACACCACCAGTGTTTCATTAGTTTACACCGAAGACACCAGCAATTTGAAGTTTGATGAACATAGAGAAATAATGAAAAAAAAAAAGAAGGCAAACCCTCTCACAATACCGATAGAGTGTCTGATGTCGAAAAGACGAAGAAATAAATTCCTAAAAGTGGAATTATTAATATTATTATTAAATACTAGGAAGTTCGAGGTCGAAACTTGTAACCCTTAATCTAAAACCACAATATATAAGCCATGTTCGTTTAGGTGTCGCGCGACCTGCAACTTACGACTTGTGACCATCATGTTCGTTTTGGTATCGCAAGATCTGAAACTTGTGACATGCGACTAAACCTGCAACATGTGACTAAAATCATGTTTGTTTGTATGTCGCGTGACTTGTGACCTACGACTAGTTGTGCAACTAAAATTTCTTAATTTTTGGTCGCTACATTTTGGACGATTTGAAATCGGATCATGCGATTGATCGTGTGACATAAAAACAAACAACAACCTGCGACATGCAACATGTCATCAGTCGCATGTCGCAGATTACATGACAACAAAACAAACAACAACCTGCGACTGAATGACCGTAAGTCATAAATTGCGCGATAAATAAACGAACTGGGCCATAATATTGTTTTAGCAAACAAAACAAAATTAATCGGAAAAAGGGAAAACGAAGTAAAGAACAACAAAACTATCTTGATTAGCCAGAGATTAGGTTCGAAAAATATAAACTCACCCTTCGATAGGAGTGAAAAACACTCTAAATAGAAGTGACAAAAGAGAGAGAGAAGTCCTCAAGCTATCTTTTCATAGTAGGCAACCAGGCATATGTAATAGTGATATTTGTGGGTCCACAAGCTTATCTTTTCATATTCACACATTTTAATTTGTGTCTCCTTTAACAATATTGAAATCTCCAAATATGACTTAAATTTTTTTTGGACCTAAAACCACATAAATAGAAAAATTATTAAAAAATATTTCATAAAAATAATGATAATTGTATATTTATTCTGTAGATATATAAACATACATATAATAAAAATAATTTTTATTTAATTTTAGAAAGAAAATTTATTTAATATTCGAATTGTTTCATATTTTCAAAAAAAAATTACAATTTTTATTTCAAAATTCAAAATTAATTTTCAAAATATTTATAATTATTATTTTAATTAAACCCCATCCCCAAAATTTCAAATATTTAAATCTAAACACTAAGTTAGTTAACATAAGAAAAGAAACTTATTTTGTTCATTTTGATCTTTGAAAACTATACTTGTGATAAAAAAAAAAGTACTTTCTTATGATATTTGCTCAATAATATTATAAATACACCTCGACTTGATTCGATAAGACCATGAGTCAATCATCGTCTTCTTAGTTCTCAAATTCTCCAAAACTCTTTGAATATCTGCTTTCTCTTCTTCTTGCTGGGTCTTCTTTGTCTCGACATGGCTTCCCCCAACGAGAAGGATGATTTTCCTATGCTTCCTATTTCAGACTCATCACCTTCGTCTCGTGCTAGGCCTTTCACTTCCAATTTTCGTAGCATTTCCCTATCAAACACTTCCAATAGTGCGAATGTGGTTTTAGGTTACACAGGTCCTCTTGGAGCACATAGACAACCACCATCAGTGCAAATGAGTGGCCCTCTTTCCTCTACTCCCAGTCCTGTGCCTCTCTTTCTTCCTCCTCCTCCTACTGGTGGTTCTTCTCATTCAGTTGGTGTCTCCTCCACTCAGCCTGAAAGGTGTCCTTCTTTTACTGCTCTTGAACACAAAAACTCAGACGATGAATTCGGCTTGAAAGACGCACATCTCTTGAGATCTGGACATCTTGAGATGTGCAATGATCGTTACTGTACAACTTGTCTTTCTTACTACAACGGCAAAACTACCCAAATCCCCACTTCCAGAGTTTCTGCCATTTTCGATTCCACGGTATGGTGTTATGATTTATAAATGTTGCAAAGCGGGCTTTGTTGCAGAGCGGGTTTTGTTTTTTTTTTTTTTTTTTTTATCTTGCTGGTTCCATTATGTATGGACCTGGTCGATTATAGTAGGAAAAATGATTGTCAGCTACTTGAAGTATTGGCCACTACATTGCTGACTATGCAAAGTAAAAAAATGCACACTCAGCTACATGAAGTATATGATATGCATACTAACATCCATAAACTTTATGTTGTTATGTAGGCAACATCACAAGACCAATTATTCTAATTATACCAGAAGGCTAATTACATTAATAAAAATATAAATATAAAAAATGTTTAAGATATGGAAAAAAAAATATTTGATTTTTTTATTATTAAAAATACTTTTATTTTAAAAACGTTTTATACAATTAATATTTAAATTAATGTTATTTTAGAAAAAAATTAACTTTATTTTAATTTTTTATATTTTGTTAGTTTATCATTTATTTTTATACATGATTTAAATAATTATTTATATTTAAATGTAAGGATAGAAAAGTATTTGTTTTTTTAGTGAAACTATATAATTAGGTATATTTGAAAACATTTTTATATCTCTTTATAAATGTCTTTATAAACATTTTCAATAAACTAAAATGTTTTTAATATTTTTAATATTTTAATACAAAAGATTTTTGCAATAAAGTACTTAAATTTGTTTACTGAAAATGTTTATAAAGACATTTGAAAGATATACAACGTTTTGAAAAATATTAATGACTTAACTATTTACATAATTATTTATATTTATATATGTTTATAAAAATTGGTAGAAAAGTCCTTTTCCATTTAGTGAAAAATGTATTTGTAAAATTATATCCTTAATGAAGGAAAATGAATTGTGCTACAACAAATAGGGGAAAAACAAAATTTCACTTGACAAATCATATAGAAAAATAAAGGACAAACTATTAAAAATATAAATTAAAATAAAGTTAAAATTTTTTTTTTCTGAAATAAAATTAATTTTTTAATATTGTTGTTAAAATAAAATATTCATAATAATAAAATTATAAAAAGGTTTTCCATATCTTAAAAACGTTTTTATATGTTTTATTTATTATAAATGTAATTAATCTTGTGATGTAATTAATTGTTATTAGCCTTGTGATATTAGCTTCATAACAACATAAAGTTCATGGATGTTACTATGCATACCATATACTTCGTGTAGTTGAGTGTACATTGTTTTACTTTGCATGGTCAGCTATGTGATGGCCGATACTTCAGGTAGCTGGTAATCATTTTTCCATTATAGTATTATGTCTAGGTAGCAGAGCATTAACATATAGATGATGTTCTTTATTATTCAATCATCATTTGTTAAAAAGCATTTAAAAAAAATATTTACCAAATACTAATGTTTTCCAAATGATTTTTGATTAATGCTCTCATAAAGAATTTTTACTAGAACATTTGCTTTTATAATTTATAAAAAAAAATATATATAATTAATTATTTATTTATTAATATTATATATTATATTTAAATCTAAAATAAATTTTATATTTTGAAAATATATTACAATTAAACTGTTTTTAAAATGATAATATTTCTCATTTAAAATATAATATAATTTTTAATTAAAAGATAGTAAATTATATTATAAATATTAAATATTAAAAAAAAACTAAAAATGTTTTGATTGTTAAATTTATGTTTAAGAATAAAATTTATTTTTGGATATAAGCCTAATTTTTATTTCAAATAAAATAAATAAAAATATATTTTTTCTTCATTTTATATATTAATATATGTATTATAAATATATTTAATAAAAATGCATATTATTTATAAATAAATATATTACATATTAAATAANAAAAAAAACTAAAAATGTTTTGATTGTTAAATTTATGTTTAAGAATAAAATTTATTTTTGGATATAAGCCTAATTTTTATTTCAAATAAAATAAATAAAAATATATTTTTTCTTCATTTTATATATTAATATATGTATTATAAATATATTTAATAAAAATGCATATTATTTATAAATAAATATATTACATATTAAATAATTTAATAATTTCTACAACATTGTGCCTATATAGCATATTACTACTTTTTTATCATTAGTTTTGCCAATCAAGGCCTAATAAGTTTTGTATGCTTATTTATAAGTTTAAATACAAACTAATTATAGAATTTAAGCCCATTCAAATTTGGCTACTAGAACTTTTTCTTGTTGGACTTTAGGTCAGAGCCAGCCACGCTCTGTATGATGATGCTAAAAGCTGGGTTAAGCAATTTGCTACATCTGTTAGTAAATGCATATCCGTAATCAAGACTCGCAGATGTCCTAAAGTATTTGCTTCATGGTTGGTTATTTTTATAGATCCCCTCTTCTTCTTCCTCATAACAGTCCAACAGGTAACTTTCTTTCGAGATATCTCTTTTTTATATTTCGTATTCTTGCTTTTGCATACCATTTTACAACTATCTTTCATACTGCAGAACGACAGATGCGTTGTGATTGATTGGCCGATGGCTACAGCATTGGTAGCTGCTAGGAGTGTAACGGATGTTTTATTTTTTTTAAATATTCTGCTTCAGGTGTGTTTCCTTTTGCTTCCATTTTTTTTATAAGAGTAAATATTCTATGTTGGCTTCTAATGATTCTTCTTCCATATTTTGTTTCAGCTCCGTTTGGCCTATTTAGCTCATCGATCTACCGTTTCCGGTACTGGTCAATTAGCTGAGCATCCAAGAAAAAAAATTAGCCGGTACTTGCAAGGAAAGTTTTTACTAGACTTGTACATAGTAATGCCACTTCCACAGGTATTGTTACATTTATAGGTGCAGTTTTTTATTATTCCCTACGTTCCAGTCTGATTATGGTTGTTGAGTAAATATTTTTGTCTGAAAAAAATTGTTGTTTTAAAATTTTAATGTAAAATTTATTAACAATATCTTCCACTTTATATTTTTATTGGTTGGTTAAGTGTATAGATAATGATATTTTTATTAGAAAATATATAAAATTAAATATTTTCTTAAACCGTGTGTATAAACTTGAAATCATAATTAAAATGATACAAAGGGAATATGTTCATTTGACCACTGTTCACTCATTTTGTCTTCCCTCTTTTGGTTACAGATATGGATATTTTGGATATTACCAGCACACTTAGGCGCATCTGGGGAAAACTATGTGAAAAACTTCTTAACAGCTGTAGTTCTTTTCCAGTACATACCAAAGTTGTGTAGAATACTACCACTTCTTGCTGGAAAAACACCAACGGTCTTCCTAGTTGAGTCGGCTTGTAGTTTTGTTGTTAATCTTCTTACCTTCATACTTGTTGGTCATGTTGTTGGCTCTTGCTGGTATCTTTTTGGTATGCAGGTATGGCAAAAGTATTTATATCTTTGACTTTAATATAATATCCTTTATGTTGCTTAAATTAATTAGCTTGTCCTAACCAAAGAAGATGTATATCTTTCAGAGAGTTAATCATTGCCTTCGAGATGCTTGAGGTAATTCTCTTCGTGCATGCAGAGAACTAATATATTGTGGTCCTGGAAATAGCAAAGCAGCGTTAGCTGCGTGGAGAAATAATGCGAGTGCCATTGCTTGTTTTCAAGAGGGTGGCTTTCCTTATGGAGTCTATTTGAAGGCAGTCAATCTCACCAATCACTCTAGTCTGTTCACAAGATACATTTATTCTTTTTTCTGGGGCTTTCAGGTAATTGGGTTTATTCATATTTTCATGACATGTGTAATGAAACAACTGTTGAACTAGTTTACATTGGTTTACAACTCTCAAAGCAAATCAGTACGCTTGCTGGAAACCAAGTCCCAGGCTACTTTCTTGGAGAGGTCTTCTTTACTATGGGGATTATAGGAGTGGGGCTTTTGCTTTTCCCGCTTCTTATTGGTAATATGCATAACGTCCTGCAAGCTTACGGTCGGAGGTAAATAACTCCCGTAATTGTATAGAATAAAATATTCTCAAGACATGGTGTGTTTTCTAAATCGCAAAGTACTTTCTACATCTTACATCTTAGGAAGTTGGAAATCAGTCATAAACGGTTCCTAGAAGGTATACGAGGGTATGTGGACGTGCCTCTTAAACGGCTCTGTAATGTCACTAGCTATGATGCTAATCAAATAGTTGTTTTTTAATAGGAGGGTGCGACTGGCTGAGTGGGTCAACTGGGCTGCTACCAGAGGACTTGACAAAAAATCGCTATTTGAGAATATGAGTAAGGAGCTTCAAAGAGATATAAGACGACACATGCTCATATTTCTCAAGAAGGTAAACATCTAAGACCATCTCTCTCTCTCTCTCTCTGAAACTGAAAAGCGTTAATGGGTTTGTAGGTGAGTATGTTTTCAACGACGACGGATGAATCAGTCTTAGATGCCATCCGTGAGAGGCTGACACATAGGAGATACATAAGTAATAGCACGGTGTTGCACCGCCGGAGTCAAGTTGAGAAAATGGTATTCATAGTGAAAGGTGAGATGGAGAGCTTTGGAGAAGATGGTGCTGTTCTCCCATTATCAGAGGGAGACGTTTATGGTGAAGAGCTCCTCACTTGGTGCCTCGGACGCTCTTCTGTAGACCCCGGTACATCCCTTGTTGACTCTATTTGCTCATAACTCTCAATGTTCTGGAAAGAAAACTCGAAACTGATATGCTTCAAAACCTGCAGATGGAACGAAGATACGGATGCCATCGAAGGGATTGCTAAGCAACAAAAATGTTAGGTGCGTGACAGACGTGGAGGCTTTTTCATTGAGTGTAGCAGATCTTGAATATATAACGACCTTGTTCTTGAGATCCTCAAAGAGTCATAAAGTGCAAGGAGCCACTGGGTCTCCATATTGGATGCTACGACCAGCTAGGAAGGTTCAAGTGAAACGGCTTCAGAGATTTTACACTGCTCCAGTCTAGACTGTCTAGTTACAGTCTTAGACTGTAATATTCATTCTTTATGATGATATGAGCTCGGTGG